TGATGTGTGAAACAGTGTATTTTCTAGAAAAGTATAATCGTCGCCGACAGTGATGAATAATTCCGTGCGTCTTGATTGCTTTCTGAGACAAATTGCTTCTTCCGGTTTATACATTAATTCGTTAATTATTTTATTGCCAAGGTTATGAGAACCATTAACCACAAAAACAACTCAAATCGTTTATAGAGGCGAGTCTTGAACCATAATTGTTCATGGGGAGTTTTGTAAAGGATCTTAATCAACCCCTATCTTCTCAAGAATTTTATAAGGAAATTGTTATACATCATTCTTTAATATAATCGGTTTAACATTGTCTAAACTTAGATAACTTTATCTGTCGTTGATTTTGTTAGCTTTAGGGGTAATAGCATTGAAAAAAAATGTGAAAAGTTGTGGTATAAAAGGCGGATGATAAAAATAACACAGAAATGAGAGGTGGTATTAGAAGAAGTAGGCGAACAGTCAGAGACATATTAGGAACAGACACAGGAGTATAGATGGGTGGAAGTAGATTTAGATTAGGTTATTGTTGGCAAATAGATAAGGATATTGGGATCCGTCAAATGGGAGGAGCCTAAAAACATGGCGCCGATTAGGGAAAATTTATCGTAGTTCCTATAGTGTACCGTGCAATTTCCAAGTTTTTAAATTACGATAAAATGATAAGTATTGACACAATATGTGATTGGGCTGACACAAAGCCTCGGAAAGGAAATTTCGTTGAAGGTGAGCGTGTTTTTAATGCCAATCACATTATAAAATTCGGAAATAACAAATTTTTTTCTGTCTACTTTTTACAAACTTCGGATTTAAAAAGTGATTCACGTTATATAATTGGTGAGGTGATTCTGGGTGATTTAAGCAATATCATATCAATGACTTGCACGTGCAAAGCCGATTTAAGAGAACGTTGCAAACACATTGCAACTTTGTTGTATTGCAGCAGGTAGGTTCTTAACCTCAAAATACTTATATCGTATCATTAGAATTGTGTTAAATCAATTACACAGGAATAATTTCTCACTTTATAATTTTAGTATTATTCTAGTTTTAAATATTAAGGTTATGGCTGATGGTAAATACTTGCTGAAATATAATCATGTGCATTAAAATGACGTGAACAAATTTTTATTCCGGAATTTACTTCTTTGATACCTACTGCTTTCATCCAAGCTTCTATTAGTTTGCTTTTTTCTCTAATTTTCCGAATATTTTTTTACATATATAAAACGGTTAGTTTTTATTGGAAAGTAGTTAATGTAGGTGAAGAGTGAAGATCTATGTCTGAAGTGCTATTGCAGCTTTTCACTGAACATATTAACTTTTTATTTGATTTAACTTTAGAAGAAAACTTCGTCGACTCCATCATCAAAAATTTTTAACGTGTTTTATTATTTTAATAAACATTTTTACAATTTGCGTGCACAGTTCCTATGTAAATTTTTCCCTCATTCGAGTTATAAATTTTGCCACCAGATGGTGCATGCCCATTTGACGGATCCCAATAGCATTTTTTACCTTTAGCAAAATGCGAATTATATGTTAGGGCTAACAAAGATTTCACTTTGTATTTGTGGTGTCGGTAGTGGATGTATGCTCGTAATATATCGTATTAATATTCAATGAAGGATGTTCATTGGCCGGAAATATATGTCGGTACCATAAACGATATTTTACTAACATATTAACATTTAAATTAAAAATCGTCCTTGGAGGGACCTTCAATAACTAAGTAACTTTGTTTTTCATTGTGTCTACTCCTTCTCTAAGTTCTGTACAAACGGACGATGCATGAAAGAAAAAATGTTGAATATTACCCTTGTTCTAATTCCACGACCTTTATTCTTTAGGGCAGTTCAATTCACGGACAGTAGAAAACATTTTTAAGAACATAAAAATTTTGTCAATCGACGTGATTCACTCACTAACCTATTTAAAAGTGAATGCATTCTATATTGCGTCAGTATATTATGCAAATTGTAAAATTGTTTATTAAAATAATAAAACACGTTAAAAAAGGAAAAAAATTTTTGATGATGAAGTTTTCTTCTAAAGTTAAATCAAATAAAAAGTTAATATGTTCAGTGAAAAGCTGCAATAGCACTTCAGACATAGATCTTCACTCTTCACCTACATTAACTACTTTCCAATAAAAACTAACCGTTTTATATATGTAAAAAATATATTCGGAAAATTACAGAAAAAAGTAAACTAATAGAAGCTTGGATGAAAGCAGTAGGTATCAAAGAAGTGAATTCCGGAATAAAAATTTGTTCACGTCATTTTAATGCACATGATTATATTTCAGCAAGTATTTACCATCAGCCATAACCTTAATATTTAAAACGAGAATCATACTAAAATTATAAAGTGAGAAATTATTTATTCCTGTGTAATTGATTTAACACAATTCTAATGATACGATATAAGTATTTTGAGGTTAAGAACCTACCTTCTGCAATACAACAAAGTTGCAATAATGCTCACCTTCAACGAAATTTCCTTTCCAAGGCTTTGTGTCAGCCCAATCACATATTGTGTCAATACTTATCATTTTATCGTAATTTAAAAACTTGGAAATTGCGCGGTACACTATAGGAACTACGATAAATTTTCCCCAATCGGCGCCATGTTTTTAGGCTCCTCCCATTTGACGGATTTTATTACATATTTTTTTTTCAAAAATCCTTAAAAAAATATTTTTAAACTACCAGTTGAGATAAAGACATCAATGAGATATCCTTTTGAAATAGTATATTTAATAAGTACCATTTACCTGTTGGGCAATACCATTAGTAGAGAAACATTATATTGGAAGACTTAATTATATTTTGTTTTATGGTTTGTTTATGGTAATATTGAAATTGAATTCTTTAAAAATAGAAACCAATTAGGCCTCTCGAGTAACCGTGAGATTGTCTGTATAGCGGGAATTGTACTTTACATTTATTAACTATCCTTTGGTCACCGAAGTTGTTGACCTATTATGTGTTCCTACTATAAATTCAACTTTATAAAAAAAGATAGGAGAAACGCTTTACAATTTAAAATTATAGTCGCATACGTTAAAAATAAAATCTAATACGATTTTTCGATATAATTCGATTATTACTCTTATTATTATTATTAATAATTAATTTTTTCATCGTATGATTTTTTAAAATTTACATTCCTTCAGAAAATGATAACAAAAATGTGTTCTTATTTATAATTAGATAAATTAATAAATGGAAACCGATTTCAATGCTATGGCTATTGTTTCTTTTAAATACCTATGCAGCACCAATTTGGATGGGTAGTTATCATAGAAAATATTTTAAGGGTATTTCTAATCTATTTACAATAGAAAGACAATGAAATGACAAGTGTAATAGGTATTTTAGAAAAAAGGCAAATATCTTAGAGAATGGTAACTTTTGGCAAATTTCTGGGCATATTTACCACGGGGCAACTAACTATAGCTATTGTTATAAATATTAGATACTCGTAGAATGACTAGTTTAACAGTTTGAGACTATACCAACCTTATACATTCTACGTCCACCCATGTGTAAACGCTCTGTATATAAAAATTCACACAGTGTAAGGTACCATTTGCGCGATTTCGCTCGTTTTTTTAATGGTCTCCTTGTAATCAAATTTAAAATAACATCAACAACATTATTGTTGTTTTTAACGAGTTCGTATATGACTAGTTCCATTTTAGGAATTAGTAATTAGGTTTTCTCACAAAAAAAAAATAAAATTGCGTAATTGTATTGTACCTATATTGGGTACTTGTACCTATACGTATAAATAATTATTTTCAAATTGGATTAGTTAAGCTCTTAAAATGAGGGGCCGGGGGGGGGGTCTTTCCCAAAGTTATTACAACTATAACTTGATAATGAGTTAAATAATGTGAAAAAATTGGTGAACTCTTAATCTCATTATTAAGACGTATTTCAAGGAATTTTAATTATTTTATATCGTTTAATGTCCAATGATCCAATAAGGCCTTTAGGATAATTTCTTTTTGGGCAAATTGCCTACAGCAGTGTTTCCCAACCTTCTTTTCCTCGCGAGCCAAAAGAAAAGTCCGAAAAAATTTGACGAACCCCCTATGTAGTCGTTAATGACAGGTAAAAAAAGCAATAAAATTTGATAGAATACATACTTTTTCATATTGCATAATAATTGATTATATTAATCGTGAAATATTTAAATAAAACATTAATAAGACTAAAATGATGTAAATGCAGTAAACTGCCTTAATTTGATATTTACTTCCAATTGTATTGTAAAAAAGAATATCAGAACATGATACTAATCACGTTGATAAAAAAATGTTTTAAATATAAATAAATGTTTGTAATAAAAAGAGAATAGTATTTGATTACTTGAATAAGAGGAATAAATTTTAATGTATAAAATTGTAGATATAATTTGATATTGATGAAGCAATTTTGAAAAACAAAGAAGGAAAAAAGAAATGCAAATATTAAAATTTATTATAGATTCCTTAACAAACAGGCAGCGATGAATCTGTTTTACAGTGCGTGTGTTCTTTAATTTTTGTGTTTTTGTTTTGTTTTTTTTTGCTTTTGATTTTAATGGCGTTTTAAAAAATCCGCCATTACAATATTATTTTCGCGAACCCCTAGGGGTTCGCGAACCACCGGTTGAGAATCACTGGCCTACAGTAAAATTACGAAATAATAAATTCAGCAATGTGGGAACACCACAAAATTCAACTGTTTTCACTCGACACCCCTTACGGATTAGATATATTACTGTTTTTAATCTCCAACAAGAATAGATGACGATAAAAATTTTAAAAAAATAGTTTAAACACGGACAGCATCGCTGTAAAATGTACAATAATTGATCCCAGTGTAACTTTTGCATGCACTCCCGTGATGCAATTTTGATTCAACAGGTGGTACACTTTGAAGAAGCGGCAAGTATTTTAACATATTATAGGAGGGGGCAGTATGCTATATAACTGCCCACTAGATCAAAACGAACCCATAGCGTCTATAATTGTGAAACACAACAGTGAAGTCGATATAAATAGTATAAATTGCAAATTTATTGTTAACAATCCACTTTTTTCTTTTCTTTACCGAGATCCATTTTTAGTTTAAAACAATGACTGGAGGAATTCAGAAAGTGAGTTATTTTTAATTTTTAATTTTTTTTTTTTTTAACAGAAATTGTAAGCCTGTACATAAATATATTTGTGCTTGGTTCTTTCTTATTTATATTTGTGTTTGTCTAAAAAGTGGTTCATACTTAATGGTTGTTTATTAATTGTTGTTTGCATGTATTTGTAAAAAAATTTTTTTTTTTTTCAAAAACCATCAGATTATGTTTTCTCGCGTTGGTAAACTTTTTGTCTGTTTTGTGGGTTACTAAACGTTCGTCTGTTATTTTTTTTGTTGTTAAACAAATGCTAAACGATACCTAATTGTCCTAATAGCAATACAAATGCCAGGGTACAAATGCAGACCTTTTTGTACATAAATATGTAATAATATTTCGAAACTCTCGCCAAAACTTGATTCTTGCTCAAGAAGAAGCTGGCAAGGTAATATTGAGAAATGCAATACATACTTGTTTTATGGTTCACATCATATACCTAATAATATGCAAAAAGTGAACTAAATGAATTAATCTAAATAGTTTTTAGTAAGTAAATACATAATTGAATCAGACAAACAAACCAGGTAAGCACAAATATATTTCTGTATGATGTCTTCGTCGTTTTGATGTTTTGTAACTACAATTTGCTACACTTCTACAACAAAAATTAAAAGTTAAACTGCTAATATAATTATCGTTAAATCTGCCTGAAACAAATAAAAATAAATGTCATTTAATAGCATTGACGAATACCACGAACGTTAATTTTATTTAATATATATTGTCTAATGGGTGAAAGTTGTAATAAGGAAAGAGAAAATTGCAGAATCACCTTTGTAATTTGTGCGAAATATTAATTAATTGCAATTATTACAATCGTTTTCGATTAAAATACAATTTTCATTCCAAAATACAGACGCAATGTGACTGTATTGTATGAAGAATGAAAATTTTCGATGTCACCACTGTATACTACGTGTATACAAGTGATATACAATATGGGCGAGTTGAGAGCCGAGTGTGGGGCTATTTTATTGCATACAACCGGCAAAGGGGGCATCATCTTTTAACTTGGTATATAGGAAAGGTAGAATGTTCACTTAAGACCGAAATAACACACATATCTTTAAAAACTATCTTAAACTAACTAAAATGATTTGAACATTCCTCTTAAACGCTTAAAATTGCATTTATTCGACGTACATTACTTTATTATTTCCTTCAAAAAGATGGCAGAAAACACTTGTACGAATTTTCTTTTACCACGTCGTATTTATCAAAGGATAATGTCGTTCGTATGTGGCAATTTATTTTTCTATGTTCGGTGAACTTTTTGCCTTACCTGTATGGTCTGTTTTAACATGTACTGGAACAGGTAAAGACAAAACAAAATTGTAGAAAGTTATATGCCTACAATAATACGATAATAAGTTAGTTTTTCTGCCTGGGTGAAAATTTCCATTAGTCGCTTAGTATCCTTTGATACCATAACAACAATAACATTGAACAGACTTAATACTTTTTCTATTATTCAAATTTCTCTACTCCATCATTCATTATTATGATGTAACTGTTTTGTATATTTTTGCATTATTAATAAGCGTGATGCTGCATATCGAAGATGTAGCATTCGTAAGGTCGTTTACATTGTGAAAGGAACAAGAAAAATACAATAATTATTGTATATTGCATACGTCTATATCTCACGCAAAATAATTTAGTTTAAATGCCTGTAAAGGTACATGTACAAGTTAAAATTCAGTGGTAATATATGATTAATTGGCCCAGAGAAAAATAAAAATTGTTACTCCTTGTGGTCCAAAGTAAAATTGCATGTACCATTTTTTTGTTTTAATTTAATCATCAAGATATAAAAAATATAAAACTCGTTCTTTTGTCATTCTCATTAGAAAGGGACTTTTTTAGTCCCTAACGTTTCTTTCGTAATCCAATTTTCTTTACCATTATTTCATTTCTTATTGTCCATGGACTTATATCATTTTCTTAGTGTACCTATATAAAAAAGTAGTTAAAGAATGTACACCTCGACATATTTTATATATTTTCGTGCTAGCAACGCCTATGTATCGTATCTATATATATATATATACGATATATATCTAATGGTTAATATCAAATCTATTATGTTCACAGAACACAGAAAGAACCAGTTAGAAATACCTACTGTACTTGCCATTTTTTTTTTTCTTATTTAAAATTATTACAATGTTCAATCAACGGTTTGCTCTATTTCCTTAGAGAAACTGACTGTATGGCAATCATTATTGCTGAAGAAAGGGGGAACGGTCGAGGGGGGAGGGGGCAGATTTTTATAAGTTAATATATTACAACATCGTAGTTACCTGTTAGAGGTGTCTACTTTTTATTATTGTAAAAATAATTTATTTGGTATGTATGGGAATTGAATTTGATTGAAAGCAACGCAAGTACCTAACTATTGGCTATTTCGATTAGGCAAAAAACGTTCTAATCTTAATTAGAAAATAATTAATTATGTGTGCTGAGGTTTAAATAAACAATTCGTTTCTCTCTTTATAATAATTTGAATACGTGGTTAGTAAAAAGGGATTGTCAAGGACAGAAAAAGTACAATAGGTAGAGCAAGTTGGTACATTTTTTAAAATAAATAGAAAACAGATGAGATGCGGTGTTTTCGATGGGGCATGAAATTATCGTCATTTAAAACGCCATTGAATTGTCATTCGGTAAACAGGATTCACAAATAAATCGTAAATTGCTTTGTAGTGGCAATTCGAATGATTTGCCAGTTTAAAAAACAAACGATTCGTAGTAAAAAATTAACAGATAAAAGAAACAGTGCAACGTAAAAAGATCTTACGGAAATAGTTAATGAAATTAATGCAAAATTCGACAGACGATATGTAGGGGAAACACCCTGTAGGGACGAATAAAAGTTTTCAATTAATAACTTATGAAAGCTGAAAGATACCTAAAACTGGGGACGTTTTACAGTCGCAAAGGACAGTTCTTTAACCTGTCACAACTTAATTATAAAGTCAATTTAAAAGAAATAAAAGTTTAGCACATCTACCTTCTCCCAAGTACCTATAAATATTGCATACAGCAAAGGATGCAGTTTCTTCAGGATAACGACTAAGATAGTTGTTGAACTACATCGGCGTAGATGCAACTAACCGGTTAGTCCAGAAAAAAATACCGTCCACATCCCAGAACATTTTTATTATCTGTTTCGTTATTATATACTTAGCTAGTAGCAAACCAGCCATGGGTTATTGCGCCTACTGTACATATACCGAGTGGATCGAGATTGCCGTGGCGTTTGCGAAAAACTGACGTTAAAAAGGGAATTAGAAGTTGCCGTTGTTGTCGTTAAATAAAAAGTCATAATAGGCTATGATTTAGAAAACAAAACAAAAAAAAATATTATCATAATTATGTTGTACCTACACAGGTAATTTATAGCTTTGGGTAATTTGTTATTTTTTTTTTCTAATGAAAATTAAGGAGCCTATGACACTTTTCCTTTTATTATGGACACAATTGGATTTTTAACAATTTTATGGCTCATTGTTATATATTTACAAGCATTGTTTAGTAATGAATCAAATCTAACAATAAGGAATTGTAAATTATTTACACATGTAGTTACTATGTACAAATGTGGTACCACTTATTAATGGCGTCATCAATCCGTTATTGCACCTAATGGGTTTATGGACTTGTGACATTAATTGAACGCTAATAGGTGTCGCAGTAAAAAAAAAAATGAAAAAGCAATTAAGACATCTTTGCAGTTAATAAAATTAAAATTATTTTGATATTAATTATCTACGTATATTTTTATTTTTTGGGAATCGGGTGAAGTATGTTTGTTTATAATTAAACAAAGAAATAATACAGAGCATCCATGTGGCAGTGTAGCAAATTGTTTTGCAGTCAGGTTATAATTTTTGGGATAGATTTAGGAATTGTTATAATAATTGTCTACCACCACGTTCCAGATTCTCCTTGTGAGCATAGTATGTTTCTGCGTGACCTTGGCCTTTCCGGTTGAAGATAAGGAAAAGTCTACGGAAGCTCCTTTAGCTGCTTCAGAAAACTCGGCCAAAGGCCAAGAAAAGGATCTAAAACTCAATGAAGCAAATGATAAACAACAGCAAAAGGAACCGTTGGAAAAACCATCAGAAGGAGAACAGCAAAAACCAGAAGAGTCACAAGATAATAAAAAACCGGAAAAACCTTCAGAACAGATCGCACCTTCCTCCACCCCCGACCAGCAGAAGCCTAACGATCACAACGACCAAATAGCGGTACCCACCGAACAAAAGAAGGAGGAGCAAAAGGACATTGAATTGAGACAACTTTCCGTAGAGAACAGTCCTGTAGGATCGTTTAGTCCGAAAGAACCTCTTGCAGCATCAAAATTGGAAAATGAAAAGAAAGACAAAGACGATCACCAGCCCCAAGAGAAAAAGATTGAAGAAGCGATCCTTGCGTCGACAGGGGCATCCGAGAAGAAACTGGACGAGAAAGCAGCTCATCCGGAACCTACCCCAGCGTCCGAAGCCAAGGACGAGTCATTGGTGACGGAAACTTCTTCTTCCAAAGCGGAAGCAGCGGACGACCACAGCACACCAGCTGCTCCGGGAGCTTCGACAGTCGCCGAATCAGAGCATGAAAACAAAGACCAGCAAGAAAATCCTGACCGCCACAAGCACGAACAAAAGTCTGACGTTTCTTCCGAACCACCTGCGAAAGAAACAACCGAATCGTCCCAACAACAAACAACCGGAGCAAATCCAGAACAAACATCCACATCGGCTTCGCTCGCGAACACCTCCAACAATCCCAATCCCAACCCTTGAGGGACACTTAAAAACAAAAAAACTTAAAAAATAACTTCATTCTACTACCTGCATTTAAATAATAAACAACAAAAAAAAAACACAAAAAACAAATGCGACTGACAATGTTGAGGACCACTTGCCCCTTTGTTCTTTTGGGAAAAAAATAATGCGAATAACTGGGTGAACAGGACCTCGGATTATTATTATTATTATTATTAATNAATTAATTAATTGATATTTATGTTCTCTGTCTTTGGTTACAATAAATTGCAATTTAGACAAAGGCGGCGTAAATGTTAAGCAACAACGTCGTTTGAAAGTAATTAATTATTGAATTAATTAATTTTTTAGCTGCACCGAAGTTTTATTCGTTTGGATTTAATTATTATTATTCTTATTATTATTATTATTACCCTTCCTTTTCGTTTTGTTGATATTGTTTAGACACGAAGCTAACAGCTCGTCTCTAGAAAGCTCCTTAGGTTGTAGAAAATTTGCAGCTTATAGGCCACTTTTATAAATAAAAAGTATTAGTAAGTAAAACGTGTGGTTTTATTTGTGGGGTTCCATAAGCAGGTACCTACCGAAAACGGTACCTCCAAAATGGAGTCTTACGTGATGATGATGACAGGGATTTCTTAATCCTTTTTGACACACACAGAAATGGTTAGTTTTTTGTCTGACAGGATCACAAAAATGTTTATCTGTTGAGGTTGGAAAATACCCTTTCAGAAAGTTCAGTAGACTAGCCATCAGACACAGATTCGAAGGTAACATTTGTTATAATTTTAGCATTTGCTGTTCTGAAAATGATGTTTGTAAAAAGACTGTATAAAATATTTGGTTTTGTTCCATAATTAGTCCCTGTGAGATCATTACCCAAACGTTAATTTTATGGTGTTTGATAAAACTAACATGGGAAAAAGTGTAACTATTGTTTTTGAAATATGTAAACTTTGGAAATTAATTATAGAATTATTAGAAACATTAATCTAAACACTTGATAGTGTTTTCCCCTCATCGATTTTACCACCTCAACGAATGCTACTTAATATGTAATAAACCATCAGGTCACTATTGTCAATATTGCTATCCCTCTGCCATCTAATGTAACTCTATTTAATGAAACTATCTTCAAATGTCCAGAATTCGTATATCTTAAGTGAATACTCAGATAAAACAACATTTATCCAGCTAATACGACTAAATAAGTACCAAATATATCGAGGATTTACAGCAACAACGAAATACCAATTTTTGAGGTCAATGAACATCCGTTTCTATAACCGAAGGTTTACTTTGTTCGTTGGACCAACATAAATTACATGCTGCATTAATATTTCTATTCCTCTTACAGTCTTTTTTATTAGCTTTATAGGCCTTTATATAAGATAAACCAATTATTCAAATTTAATCTCTTTTCAGATAAAACTGGCGAGCCTTATTTTTGTCATCTACGTTACACCTTTACTGGAATGTTATCCCCAAGGAACGCCTCCATCGCGAGTTCTCCCAAATTCAAAGGAGCAATGCACTTTGACCATTATTGGGTTTCCTATTACACCACCCTATACTGATTCGATTGATATTGACGAATGGTGGTAAGTTTTTTCCCCGCTCCTTTTTTAATTTATATTTTACAACACTTGTGCCTGTGCCAAAACTCATTTATCCCTCGCTTCCCTACCTACGATAAAGTGTTTACGTACCAACCAAAATTTTTGCCAAATATTTATTATAACGCAGGGTAGTAAAACCGCCTGGAGCATAAAAATCAGAACAAGAAATGGTACCATAAAAAAATAACTGGAGAATGGCGTAGGTGCTGATAAGGCTTCATGTGTCTATAAATATTAATTGTTGTTATAAATATATTATTTTTGTCATTGAGTAGTGCTTTTAACCCCCAACCCTTTCCCTAAAGTCGGTTGGAATACTTAGGAAAGGAGCGCAACTATTCTTTTAGAAAATACTTAGAAGTAACAAAAAAAATCTTGAACAGCTCTGGCGTACATTGGCATGTATCTCTCTGCATTATTTGAGTGATATTTAAAATCAAAATTCTTTGATAATAAATAAATTATAATGGTAATAAGAATCAAAAGATAGATCCATTATTACAATCACACAAAGAAATAATCAGTACAAATCCATCCCTGTTAGGTACCATCTTGCAATGTATATTGTATATTAATGTGAACGTCGAAATTTGCCCTAATTTTTTTTGTGGTGACCCGGGTTCAATTCCCAACCGATACGTTTCTAATTTCTCTTCTTATGTTAAGTAAAATAAATCGGTTGAATATCAACCACAGACGATACCAATTTAGATAATTATTTGATAAATAAATTTTGACTGACCTGTCCGAGCATCATTAGGCATGTAATTACTCCCAAACTCCACCAGTCAGCAGCGTGGCCGTAAAGCTGGAGACTTATAACTTCGGGAGCTGCAACAAAAATACTTCACTTACCTGTAAATCGAAAATCTGAAGCACGATTTTTATTTTTGTATTTTTACAATAAAAAAAAAAGCATCGAAAACGTGCATAATAGGTAAGAGTGTTTTTCGTTCGACAAAAAATAAAACACATTTGGTACTTACTTCAATTACAAATTTAATAGAACAATCCTCCTCTTTGAAATGATAATTTGATAAAATCAGTTAATTATTATTACTATTATTATAAACTTTGCTTATAACTAACATCACAAAGAAGTTGAAAACTACATACAGTGTTCGAAACTACATGATTGAAGTTTATTTACATTATAATTATTAAAGTGTTTGTTTATGGCAATTAGTTTAAACATATATTATTAACTCATCCTGATTGGTTCTTCGATATGTTT